TATATATACAAAATAATACTATTAAATATTATTATATATATATACATACATATACACATATATATATATATATATATATATATATACATACATATACATATATATATATATATATATATATATATATATACATACATACATACATACTTTTTCTCCACCACAAGCTTCTTTTACAAACAAAGGGCTTTATGATCAGACGTTGAACCAGTTATATCTGATATAATATATCTGATGAAGCTATTTTTCTTTATTTTTTATAAAGCATTTAAATGGCACAATCTCATTTAATGAATTTTAATGCCAATTAAGGCCTTGATTAAAAAAAAAAATAATACATTTAATGACTTTTAATGATTTTCAATGACCTGCAGAAACCCTGATACAGCTTTTGTCCACTGGGGGGAGCCAAAATGGACCAAAACTTGAAAGTTTTATGTACTGCTATAAGAAGGAACAAAAATTTGTTGACTCCATTTCATTAAACTCCTGTTTTTAAAGATTATTCTGCATTGATTCAAATAACATGCAGTGTAATAACTGAATTTTATACTAATTTAAAATGTGAAATAGACTGGGTGGCATTCTTTTAATTTACAATAATTACAGCCTCGTGCCTAAAACTGTAAATAAACCATGAAAAACAAGGAGGCTTAGTTTTGCCACCATCTTATTTGTCATGTTCTATTTTTATAGGACTTTACAAACCAGTTGCATCAAAGTGGGAACAAAATAACTGACAGGAGGAGATGTTTACTACAACTTCTTCTCTTCAATCTATTGAACAGCTGCTGCTGTAAACATGTCACATTAGTTTATTATTAAAGAGCCTGAGGAGCAGCTCCAAGCTGAACGAACAATTGTGTTGTTTGAGAGTTACCAGTTATGGCGTTGGTGACATTTCAGCATTTCATCATTAATCTGTGATATTTATAGTAAAGGTTACAAACATGACAGCCATGATAATCAATGGCTGTGGAAATAAAATGCCCCTTGCAGCTCCTGAGACCCTTGATAATAAATAATAAATCCACCTGATATTGCAGCTGGATATCACTAAAAAATAACTCTTTAATTCAGAGTCATGTACTGCGCTTTGGTCTTTATTTGAGCCTAAATATAATTTCTTCACCAGTAGGGATCAGCAGACGAACATTACTGCACACCGTCGCCATCTGCTGGCAGCACCATCAGGTCAGAATTCTGCCACAATGCACACATGTAGGGCTGCAACTAATGATTATTTTGCAAATCGATTCATCTGTTGATTAGTTTTTGATTAATAATCGGATAGCCGAAGGTTCCTTAAAGACTTTTTATGAAATTAAACAAGATAAAACTAAAACTTTTCCACGTTAGCATTTCTGGATAGAGCATATCGACATATGACTAATATTTTTATCTTAAATGCAAAATGTTTACATATTTTCTTTACAATTTCAGTATAGTTGCTGCTTAAGGTGGGTCCCCGTCAGCTAAAGGCATGTTTTAGAGTATGTCAATAATCAATTAATCACGTAACAATAAAAACTGATAGAAGCAGTTTTATTTAAAACACACCTGTGCATGTAGAGTTAATACCTTGAGGCCAATATGTCACAGCCTTCAGTTCATGCTCCTCCTCTTCTCTTTTTTTAAAATGCTCGTTAGGACCAGTTCCTGTGGCTCATGTCAACTTTTGTCCCAAAATAAAATGGCTGTGATTACAATACCGTTTTCTTTCGTAGTTGCTTTATGCATTATGCTACAGCAACTAAAGATACTTACTATAAATTCTCTTACACACTCATCTATAGTCCTAATAAATTTGAAGGGAGCCGTGCAACGAGTAACTGAGCTGCTGTCTTTCATTCCAAGCATTTACAATAAGTTTATATTCAAAGGAAAAATAAACTAAATTTACAACAACCTACTTCATGCTTATATTATATTTCTTCAACCATAATATTTTGTATAAATCCTTTTTTTTTTTTTGTAGAATCTTAGTGAAGCGGCTGTTCCAACCACTGCATTTCCGAATTCTGCCAAGTGGTGCCATATTTCCACCAGTGAATAAAGTGAATGTGATTGGTCGATTATCGAGGGGGCGGGATTGTTGTGGTGGAAAGTTCGCAATCAAGTTTAATTGTGGCCGGTTTGTTGGAAGCATCTTGCTAACCAGTCAGCAACTTAGTGCTAGTAGGTTCCCAATGGGAAATCCCATTGGGACCAAGTAGCACTAAATTGGTGACTTAGAAACGACACTGTCAAGGAACGCTATGGACAGCGGAAACATGCAATAGGAGGAGAGTTTATTGTCGGAGGTCGTGGATGAGTCTCCTCCATCATCCATTTTTATCTAGAGGAGGAAAGCGGGGACGAAGATGTTGTGGAAGAGGACGCCAGGGAGGCAGAAGCTTGGTTTGGTGTAGAAGGCTTCCAGCCGTCCATGTTTGAGCCCTTGCCTCGCAACGCTGCCAGTTCTGTTAGCTCTACGCCTGCTGAAGACACAGACGTCCATCCCCGTGAACACTGGGACGGAACTCAATGGGGAAGGACATGATTCTTATTTCTTATTTCAACCGTTGCGTATATTAGCTGCGACATATAAATCAAGATGCTATGACCGAAATAATTTGATTGACAGATGACCGTTGATATATGATTGGGCAAATTTAGGTGTTCAGGCTGATGTATAACTAACTGGCCTGCATAAGATAAAAAAAAACAAAGCTTTTAAGACAGGATCTTTTTTTAAATAGAAACATTCTAAATTTTGGGAAAATATTGTCTGATAAAAGAGTACATTTATATACATGTTTAAGCCAGAATGATTTGACATTTAAATATGACTTCCCTACGACTTTAAATCATACCTGACAGAAAATGAAATCCCAATATCAGTCTGAGATCCCAGGAATAAGACAATGTGTCTTAAAACTTCTGTGTACTCGAAGCTCGATGGTACAGAGACTTAGCAGATGTCCAGTGATTCTCTACCCTCACTGGAAGAAGATATACCGTTAAATTAAACCCACAGATTTTGTCGTTTAATGTAGGCTGGCATTGAGCAAAGATGTAGCAGAGACTAACATAGGAGAGAAAAAGAGCACATTCACATCTGAAGCTGTTTGTTTTTTTTTCTCTAGAAAGCACTGCAGCCCACCACCAAAGCAACAACCTCAGACATAGATGTTACCTTCTCTTGGGTGGGTTTGATAACATTCTCATTTATAGTCTGTCCTAACTCTGTGGCCTAGTTGAAAGTCAGAGAGGAGAGTTCGATTTAATTAAAACACATTTCAACATCCACATTTGTGTAAAACACTGAGCTGCTTCCCCTTCAGATGCATTAAAACACAGACCACTCACAATGACACAGAAAAAGCTCTAGAGGGCGTAATGGTGCAAAGAAAGAGGTGACGTAAGCTTTGCTTTCTAAGGATTCATGTCCAGCCTGATCAAACTCAGGCTCCTCACTCATGATTCACTTGTTATCAGGGGGAAGTTTAACCTTTTTTGTATTTTCTAAGATGAAAAACCTTTTCTGGAAGAAATCTCTAAGAAAATATGCATAATATGATTTTCTGACACATGCAACCTTAATTTCTGATATTTTTAGCTTTTTTTTTACAATAAGGCTCCCCTTACAGATGATTAATTTTGTATAGGTTTATTACTACTTAATCTGGAAATGCTTCAATCTATTCCTAAGTGTTTATTATAAATTAATTAATTAATGACAAGCAAGAGCTAAAACTGACGGGTTCCTTTCCAAATGTTTAGCCTAATATTTTTCAACTGTGCTTTTTAGATTTATCATTTTTAGTTTACAGATTAATTACTAAAACATCTTTAAACTTTTTATTAGCCATCTATAAGGTGGGCCTTACTGTAAAATGTTACCAATTTAATCTGATCTTTTTTTTATGTTTCAAAAAAAATCACAGTGGGGAATTATTTTTTCTGTTTTTAAAACATAAATATAATAATTTAGTATTGAAAAAAAATGTAATGCTATGTTCAGACCGCATGCGCTAGAGGCAACGGAAGCAGCTGGTTTACAAAGTCAATGGTTGACACGCATCACGGCGCAACAAAAGGTCCTGCAGCGTGTTTTGATCAGCATGAGCAAAGCATCTGAGCAGACGCGCCACGAAAGCAGCAGCTGCTGGAGTTGGAAAACTTGAACTTAAGCTGCTCGATGCTCCACATCAATCAATCAGAGAAGCTGATCTGGGAGATGGCAGGGAGACAGACACAGCACTGCTCATGCAGATCGCTGTGATCACTCCTCTGAAACAGCTTATTAAAGGAATAGTACACCCAAAACATGATCAGCCTTCATTTTCTACTCACCCCCATGCTGAACAACACTCTGGAGTACTTTTTTGATATCTCAAATGCATCTGGAGATCTGGGAGGCTTCTTGCTGTCTGCTGACATTCAAATAATGGAGGTGCCCAGCGCCCGAGGCAGAAAGGTCCATAAAAGTCCACAAAAAACGTGTCAATATTCCTCCATACTGCTCGTCCAATGTATTCCAAGTGTCCTGAGTGGGTAGCGTCCAGAATTTACTCGAAACGAAGTCATTTAGAATGTTTTTAGAGCATAAACAGTAGTGTATAGGATTTCCTGAAAGCGCGCACATGCGCGCTCACGACGCTACGGAAGCCGGCAGACCAAACCAGCGCATTCAGCTCGGCAAAGAACTCATGCTCTTCCTCAACACTGAAGTCCTCAGACATTTTTCTTTCGTTGTTTCTTTCTTTGCACAGGTAAACGGCGCATTTCTTCTTCTACGCTTGCATTATCGGCAGAGCAGACGCTGAATGCGCACTTTCATCTGGTTTGGTCTGCCGGCTCGTGAACGCGCTTTTAGGAAATCCTATACACTACTGTTTATGCTCTAAAAACATTCTAAATGACTTCGTTTCGAGTAAATTCTGGACGCTACCCACTCAGGACACTTGGAATACATTGGACGAGCAGTATGGAGGAATATTGACACGTTTTTTGTGGACTTTTATGGACCTTTCTGCCTCGGGCGCCATAGACCTCCATTATTTGAATGTCAGCAGACAGCAAGAAGCCTCCCAGATCTCCAGATGCATTTGAGATATCAAAAAAGTACTCCAGAGTGTTGTTCAGCATGGGGGTGAGTAGAAAATGAAGGCTAATCATGTTTTGGGTGTACTATTCCTTTAACGTCTAAATTAACTTAAAATGCCGAAGCCTGCCGGCAAAATATGTTCAGTTTCATTATTCTGGTGCCTGCAGTTTGAATTATATATGTGTTAAACAAAGGCCGCAAAGATTAGCGGAAAACCCCACAGAGGCGACTGGGCCAGAGGCTGCTGGTGAAGAGGATTTCCAGGGACAGAGCACCACCAGTGTACAGAGGTCTGAGCGGCTCCGACAGTGAAATAATGTTTGAAGGCCGGATGGTAATCTTGATGAACCGACTGCACAGATTAAGTTTTCAGGTGGACTTTCTCACTTAAAACATATTAAAATTACTTTCTATCCACTTACAACTAGCCTGATAAACCAGACTAAATGTAAGATTAAATGTGGCATTTATTCTGGCCACGATGAATGAGACAATGGAATATTGTTCATGAGAACAACCCGTTGTTTTTCAAACCATGTCTGTGCCTACTGGAGAACGCTCTGGCCTATGAGGGCAACTGACTATGACGTAGTAAGTGCGACAGAAAGCTGGTGGGGGAGTGTAAACAAACAGCCCGTCGGTAAACCGGCGAATACGTCCTTCTTAGAAATGAATGAGCGTAGAGCCTCTCCCTCCTCACGTTTCAAAGAAAACCCCAAGACTATTACCCCATTTACACTACCCATGAAAAACCGATCCATGCCGAGACCGGTCCGAGCTTGGATCAGTTAACCAGGCCGAGCTCGGTTCTGACGACCGTTTACACATCATGCTATCTCGGTTCCTCGACTCCTCGCCTCCTAGTGACGATCTGCGGTATTACTGCCAGTATTGAAGGAGGAAATCAAGCAGTTGCTGGCGGTAATGCACCAAAAGTTGTCTGCCAAGAAGAAGAAGACAAAGAAGGAGAGAATCAAGCAAATCAAAATGGCGGGGCCCGTCACATTCAGAAAGTTAAGCTTGATTATTATTGCTGTAGTTCGGTGTTATTATTTAAAATGCCATTATTTAAAATGTTGTGTGGAGAAGATTTCGATTGTTGTTTATAGTTGTTCTTCTGTTTTGTGTTGGTAGGCAAGCAACTTCCTGAGGGGCATTACCGCCAACTACTGGAATGGAGTGTGAATCGGGATGTGCAGCCAGACGGAGATGATGCGTTCTGCTCATGCGCTCTTGTTATCAGAGAACCGAGCCAGGGAAAAACCGAGCCGAGCCCACCTCTGGAACTGGTCTGCAGTTAGCGCGGTTCAGTTTAGTTTGCTTTCCATTTACACACAATAAGTTATCTCAGTTACTGAGCTCGGACCGGTCTCAGCACGGTTTTTCAAGGGTGGTGTAAATGGGGTATAATCCTTCCAAAACTGATCCCAAAGCTGAGTCAAACGAGAACTGTTCAATAGTTGTTGCTATCTTCCTTTTTGTGCTTTCTCCAGCGTTGTGCAGCTCGGTTGTCATGCCCTCAAAACCCCGCCCGCTTTGCATCCAGAAATTCAAAACCCATATCTGCATTGTGATTGGCCCGCCAGTTCTAGGTCGTGGGGCTTTGATGGAGGCTAGACCAATCACAGGCAAAAATGATTTTGGCTGCTGGCGGGTGGGGCTAGTTTACTAGACTAACTTACTACACCAAATATAGCAAAGCCGCTCTCTGCTATTGAACACAAGACACTTTACTGGACGCGCTTCAGGAGCGTCAAGGACGCTTATTACGCGTGTTTCACCTTAATGTGTACAAGCATCAAAAATTAAAGCTGCAGTCTGTAACATTGAGAAGAGAGCAGACTTCGACTGAAAATTTGAAGAAAAACAGGTTTCACGCCACTCCCCCACCCTCTCTGCTTCACTCATGCCCCACCTCCAAGTCCACCCCTCTCACAGCATCTGCGCGGCTACCGCATGCGACCAGAATCATCCAAGCAGCGTACACGGCATGGAGTGTGGACCGGTAAGAGCGATAACACTCACCTCCAAGCAGCTAGATATAAGATGCTGGTTATACCGAAGTTTGCCGTGTAAGCAGTTGTCAGCAGGGGCAGTAAGGGCAGTTTCTCTTTCGCTGGTGGCTGTCGCTCCGCCATGACTTCCACGCGCGTCCTCCTGACTGCTGCAGCCGGGCGGCAGCGGCAGGTTAAGCATTGAGAGGGGGGGGGGGGCGGGATTCAGCGTGGGTGAGCTGTGATTGACACTCCATCAGACGCTCCTCTGGCTGTGATTGGTTGTTTTGACTTGTCCCGAATTATTCTTTCCAGATTGAAATACAGGCAGTAGGCGGAACCAATTGAAGCAGTTTTTTTCACAGGTTACATATCACATGTACTGCTGTCTGGGCATAGGGACAGTTTTAGCCAATATGACAAAAAAGTGATTTTTAAAAACTTACAGACTTCAGCTTTAAGCAGAAGAAATTTTGTTGCCGCTTCCAGTGCTTGCGGTCTGAACGTAGCATCAGAGCTTTGATAAATAACTATCACACACACATTTTTTTTTATACAGACATCACTTTTTGTCACTTAAGCTGGAAGATTGCGGGCATTTCTGGAGCCTCTGGCTGCCTCCAAACCCTATTCTGCATCAACTACAGAACCTTTTCTCTGCATCGTCATGGAAATGCACATTAGTCCGTTTTGAGGGTTTATCTCGGCGTTTTGCACCGAGCAGTTTCTAAGGATGAAACAATGCCTCATGTATGCTTTTACTTTGAAGTCTAAATTCATAAGTGAAGACAGGAAATGCTAAGCCAGCTAACGGTAGCTGGAATCAGAGAGGGTGCTGATTAGGGATGGGAATCGAAAACCGGTTCCTGTTCAGAACCGGTTCCGTATTTTCCGATTCCATGGCATCGTTTGGCAGCTCGCTGAACGATTCTTTTTTCGATTCCCGAAGCACCAGAGCCTAGAGCGCCGGCTCTGGGGAGCACGACTTACGTCACGTTTTTTACGTACGTTACGTAAGTTACGCAAGTTACGCAAGTTACGCAATTTGGAAATAACTATTCGAGGAGGAAGACAGCGAGCTGCGGTCACTTTATGAATCAAAGCCCCGTCTTTCCTTAGCCCAGAGGGTAGATCAGGAAATCCAGCTCTATAAAAGCTTGCCCTCCATCCCCTGCAGGGATAGCGCCACACTGTGGTGGTGGAACAAGCAAGATACGCTGCCCTTGCTATCTGGACTGGCTGAAAACTACCTCTGTGTGCAGGCTTCCTGCACCCCATCCGAGAGGGTGTTCTCCACGGCTGGAGACACCATAAGCCCTGAAAGATCCTGTATCCTTCCAGAAAAAGCAGATATGCTCATCTTTCTGCAAAAGAACTGTTAATTTTCCCTACTACTGTTTTATAATTAGTATTTTTTGTTATTTAAAATAGGTTATTATCCCATCATTTGTTATTAGACATTGTTGGTTATTAAGTTTGTTCTTGTATTCATTTTTCATTTAAACACAGATGTTACTCCAGTTTCACATTTCCTGTGGACATCTTGATCTTGTTGAGTTTGTAAGATTGTGCAATAGTTAAGTAAACAAAGTTGATTCTGATAATCAAACTGTTTGTTCTCCTTTTTCCCCCAAATTGGAATCGAAAAAAGAATCGATAAAGAATCGAATCGTTTCATAGAATCGAAAAGGGAATCGGAATCGTGAAAATCTTTTCAATTCCCAACCCTAGTGCTGATGCATTCAGTTTAACATCAAGGTGACCTTGATTCCTACGGTGAACTGTTAGTTCCAACGTACTCTAAATAAGACCAGAATGTCAAAGATAAAATGTTCACCATGTGATAAAAAACAAAACACAGCAGATGTTCCAGACCAAGGTTTCCTGGTTCTGCTGGAAGGTCCAAGCAAAATATTGAGCACTACTTTAATTTAACCATTTAAACAAGAAACAACAAATTGAATCAAAATAACCAGTCTTTTATCTATATACGATTTATTTTGAAACAGAAAATCCAAATAATGAACCCTATAAAGATTCTATTCATATATGATCCATTTCAGACTTTTTAGATAAATATAAGATCGCTGAAAACCAAAAGCTTCACAATCCAATATAATTCAGCTTTTAAAAATTAGCAAATTAACTTAATCAAAAACATAGAATAAATGCATAAATATTTCAATTATGTACCGAGGACTAAAGATCAGATGAATTATGATTAATTATTGAAAAAACGAAATGTAATGAAACAGAATTGTTGCCTCAAATAATGATGTAGACTAAAAAACATTTATCACATGCATAAATAATTTAACACATTAAAAAAGTATATAATTATGTCAATAATTAATAAATGTATTGGCATGTGCTGCAACATGTCAGTTTATTTCAGTCTCTCAGCCTTTCTCATCAACATCAGAAATGTAGACCAACCAATCAGAAGCTAGCCTCTACTTCTAGTGAAAATTACAGTTATACATTTTTATTTAATAAAGTTTGAATTTTTTGGATTGTTGAACTTTTTGGGGAATTTATAAAGATCTTATCTACCATGTATCCACTACAGAGAAGGAAACTAGAATCCAGAGGGCTGTAACAGGATGTTTCCCATGCCATTACACCTCTTTACATCTTAATGTCTTAAAGGGACTTAAAAGACAAAATAAAAGGTCATGCATAAATGGATAACCCATTATATTTGGAGGTGAGAGAACAGTAGCTCATATCCATAATTAAAGGTGGGAGTTAATTGCAATCCTTATCGAATATTACGTTTATGTCCCAATAAATATCGAGCATCAGGACATAAACTCAAGGCACCAACACCAGCAATGCTTTGTGTTATCAAGCAGAAGCACATTAACATCCAAATAGGTCATATTTTGCAAAATGGTTCCAGGTTTAAAAGCTGCTTAAATAAAATAAAATAAAAATGGAGCAGCCTTAAATAAATGATGTGCAAAAAAGGCGTCATGCAGCCATAAACTGCTTTACCGGTTCAGGGGGGGCTTTATAGCCCCTTAACTTTATCCAGGGAGGGCAGAGAGATATTAGTAACATCATTATCACAGCCTTCGAGTGTTTAGAAAAACTTCTATGACACAGCTAATAAATGACAGCATTTCCATGCTAACAACCTCCCCAAGCTAGAAGGAATATTTCCATACAGCTGAATGAAAAGCACAAGGGAAACTTTAAAAAGGGACTCTGACATAATACCCTTACCTTTAAAGTTGCTTGGCTTGCCAGTTTAGTCGTCTGTTTAAGTGGAGAGAAAAAAAATAAGAAACAGGATAATAAGTCTTGCATGTCTTCCAAAGGGAGGTTACTTTAAAGCTATAATGAATATAAAATAGTTATTTACATTATCTTTAGCAATTGAAGCAAATTTGGTGGCACCAACAGTAAAATTACTCCAACCCTGCAAAACAAAGCAAAAGATTTAAAACAGTCGTATCTAAAACACAGCTCAGTCAAATCAATCTAAATAAATGTTGATGCATGATGACATACTGAGTAAATTGAAGACATTGCATTGTTCAAGAAGTCGTCATCCTTCTTCTCTGGGGTTACTGTGTTGCCAAAGCCAACATAACGATTCTCTTGGTTCCCACTGTAGCCCCCCCCACTGAAGGAAAAACAATTAATGATACCAACCGACTGGGGATGTAATTATATAATCAATTTAAGATTAATAGCTGGATTCAAATTCGCTCCAGCTGATCAATTAATAATGTCCATTCAGAGGAAATTTCTCTAGTGTTGTAATGATACTTCCATCCACTAGAGAGCGATGGGGGTTAAAAAATAAAATTGATTGATTGACTTTATTGCTCTCACAGTGGAGAAATTTACTGGTTAAATCAGCTCAAACAGACAAAGGAGAAGAAGAAGAAGGTGCCAAAGGAAGAAAAATGTGCATAAGGTATATACAGTATATACAGAGCGTCCACATATGATAGCTTTTTGTTTTATTTATAGTAAGATTGTTATCCAGGGTTATTGCATCACGAAGGAGTATTAGGGCCAGGCTTGAGATTTTTAATAAAGTTGTAAAATTACAAGAATCCTGTCGTAAAATTACAAGAATAAAGTCGGAATATTACAAGAATAAAGTCGTAATATTAAGAGAATACAGTCGTATTTAATGACAACTCTTACAAAAAGCACTATCTTCCCCTAAAATGAGGAATGTGGAGCATCATGTGAAGTTATACTTTGACTCTGGTTTGACAACTAAGGAAATATTTTAGCACCAGCATCAAATTGGCCAGCAGGTCAAAGTGGACTCAGGTTGCTGTTTGGTGGAGCTGGTCAGCCGTCATCTGCTGGTCGGAGCTCCAAGCTTTCTTTCTGAAACGGGTTGTGGCATAATGATTTCATTATCGTAATGTTACAACTTTATTCGCAAAATAAAAATTTAAATCTCTAGCCTGGCCCTTATACTCCATCGTAATTGCACATGGTGTTTACATGGGTATTTATATAGATGGATATTTATATTTACATATATAGTTCTTGCACAGGGTATCAAATAGTAATTGCTATTGTTAATCTTGATATTCTTTTATACAAATTTTGATGAATCAGTATATAATTCTCTTGTTTATCAATGCTTATACAACTAAATACAATCAAAATATCACAGGCTGACATTAGTCTGCACAATGGAATCTCAAAAAGAGCATCAAGTTGGTGCTTTTTAAATATATGTTATATCATATATGGTATATATTTAAAGGTGCTGCTAAAAGCCTAAATTCCAGCAAACGTCACCAGATTACACTCAAAATAGGGAACTTCATGGAAACGAATAGTCTGGAAGTATGTTTGAGACAAGCACACGCCGTCTTGTAGTTGTAGTTTTCCCATCTCTGCTAAGTTGAAATCATAAGTTTTCCACATATTTTTATGTGTTATTTTATTCAGTAACCCAATAGGTTCCTGTTTTGTTGCATCTTATAAATATGTCTGGATTAATCATGTGTTTAACAACTTTATTGTTTATTCAGTCGTTTTATTTAATAAAGATGTTTTTAAATAAAAATGTTTTTTTTTTTATTCATCATATAGTAAAAACATAATTAGGCCTTTAATGTTAACAGAAAGATCCGCTTGATAAAAGAGAAAACTTGAGATTTTTAAAAACGTCCACTTATCAATTACGCATTGGTCGATTAAAAACTTTAAAATGTGTTTATTAATCGATCATTTGTATCCTGAGTACCAGCATATCAATTTACAATAAAAAACAAAAAACAAAGAAATAACGAGGAAACATTGTTTTTTTACCTTTGATAAGAGTTGACGTCGTCACTCAACCAATCCTCAAACGCCTTGTCATTAGAACTGACCTGGGTCTGACCCGATCCTCCAGATCTGGATTTAAACAGTAGGAATTCACGCATTTTAAGACTGATTCATGTCGATTACAGCACTGACGTGTTTAAATGCTGCAGATAAGTTACCTGTGAGAGGATGAAAGGCTTGACTTGGGTTGCGGAGGAGTCCAGTTTTTAGCAGTGGATGTATCAATGGACCACTCCTTACCTTCAGCTAATGTTGCTACCTGTATAGGAAATACGAAAATATACTTTGAACACAGCTGTACTCATTTCCATGCTGTAACTTGCAAAACTATAATTACGCAGAAAATATTTCACATTATGTTACATTAATACCACAAACTCTGATGCATTTTATTAAGATTTTATAAGATAGATCAACACAGAACTGTGAAGTAGAAGAAAATGATGCACAGTTTACATTTTAAATTAGACTTGGACAGATTTATTTTGTCATTTTGTGTACAAGAATGTAAACAAAAAGAAATATCGTTAAGAACAGCTCTCCAGACAATTTCATTTTTTTTAAAGTGCAGCCTTGAAAACAGTAAAAAATACAGAAAAACAGTAATATGAACATTTGACTGTATATTTAAAGTTCTAACATTTCATTTCTTTTTTAAATCATAAAATACAATAAAATAACCCATTTTACAAAAACATTCAGCAGTCTAATGGCAGACGGGAAGAAACTGTTATGGAATTTAAATCTATAAGTGTAACATGTTTGGGGTGAATTGTATTGTACTCAGCTCCAGTGAGTAGGCACTTTATAGGAACTTTTGGGAAAGTCTTTACCAGCATTTCACATGTAAAGGGATTTTTTTAAATAAGTGTACCTGCCCTAAACTGAGCAGGTAAGGAAGACGATTTGTCATTAAAATAAAGATTTATGTTTGAAATTATATTAAAAAGAAGAAAAAAAACTCCCATTATACGGAAAAGGATTAGGGCCACTGAAAAAATAAAAAAGTTAACTGATTTTTAAATTTTATGTCAGTATAATATGAGAAAAGTCAGAATTCTGGCTTTTTTTCTTAGAATTGTGGATCTTAGTATAGATGGGCACCATGAAGGAAGAGTTGGGAGCACTCAGCTTCACTGACAAAGATGTGAGTTGTTTGGGAGGACCAGTGACACATTGGTGGAAAATGACAGAGTTAGGCGAGGGGTCCCCGGTGATAGCCTCGTGAGACCATCCTGATCTCACGAGCTTTCAAGGTTTCACTGGCAGATCAGTCTGGAGACTCTCCGTTAAAGAAAATTTGGAGCCGTTCACCAAACGAACGTCCAATCAGCGTTGGCTTTGAGGCGGGTTGAGGTGTGACGCAACGAGAAGCGCGACAGTTCAGTCTAAAGAACATGGCGGCTTCAGCCGATGAAACTAGCGTTAGCGTGGCTATCGAGCAAGTTTTATCGGAATTACAGAGTATTTCTTCACTGAAAGAAGAGCAAAACGCTACTCTGGAGGCTTTTCTCAGAGGAAAAGATCTTTTTGTTCTTCTCCCGACTGGTTTCGGCAAGAGTAGCCTGGCTTGTGGTTGTGTTTTCGTTGTCGCTCTGTTAGTACGTCATATGCTTCGTTGATCTGATTGGTTTATTTGGCCCGTCTATCACCAACATAGGCCAATCAGCTAACCAGTATTTTCGCCACTTCCCAAAATTACTTCAACGGAAGGTTTCCAGATGGATATGCGGAGTCAGGTTACCCCGGTGATGCTATTTCATCACAGGAAGAGCAGAAGGTGATTAAAACAAGAGAGCTGGTTTAGCGTCTAAAACAGACATGGATATGAGTGGATGCTAACATGTTTGTTAGCTGTCAGAATTCACTCAGAATTCTGGGATTACATCCAGAGTTCAGACTTTCTTTCCCATATTAAACTAAAATAATATTTAAAAATCAGTTAACTTTTGAGCCTGACTAGCTGTCAGAATTTAGTGCCGTTCAGTTCTGAAGAAAAAAAATCAGAATTCTGACTTTTTTCCCTATATGAAACTGAACTAAAATTTAAAAATAAGTTAACTTTTTTTTACTTTGTTCAGTGGCCCTAATCCTCTTAAGATAATTACATTAAATTAGTCTGCATAGTATCTAATTATCAAAAGGGCAAAAATAATTATTATATTGGCAAAATCATCTTAAGGGCAAAGAAACTTATTTTAAGAAACGTTCACTCATTTAATTTACTTAAAGGAATAGTACACCCAAAACATGATTAGCCTTCATTTTCTACTCACCCCCATGCTGAACAAAACTCTGGAGTACTTTTTTGATATCTCAAATGCATCTGGAGATCTGGGAGGCTTCTTGCTGTCTGCTGACATTCAAATAATGGAGGTCTATGGCGCCCGAGACAGAAAGGTCCACAAAAGTCCACAAAAACTTGTCAATATTCCTCCATACTGCTCGTCCAATGTAATCCAAGTGTCCTGAGTGGGTAGCATCCAGAATTTACTCGAAACGAAGTCATTTAGAATGTTTTTAGAGCCTAAACAGTAGTGTATAGGATTTCCTAATAGCGCCCCCATGCGCGCTCACGATTCTACGGAAGCCGGCAGACCAAACCAGCGCATTCAGCTCGGCAAAGAACTCATGCTCTTCCTCAACACTGAAGTCCTCAGACATTTTTCTTTCGTTGTTTCTTTCTTTGCACAGGTAAACAGCACATTTCTTCTTCTACGCTTGCATTATCGGCAGACCAGACGCTGAATGCGCACTTTCTTCCGGTTTGGTCTGCCGGCTTCCGTAGAATCGTGAGCGAGCATGGGGGCGCTATTAGGAAATCCTATACACTACTGTTTATGCTCTAAAAACATTCTAAATGACTTCGTTTCGAGTAAATTCTGGATGCTACCCACTCAGGACACTTGGATTACATTGGACGAGCAGTATGGAGGAATATTGACACGTTTTTGTGGACTTTTATGGACCTTTCTGTCTCGGGCGCCACAGACCTCCATTATTTGAATGTCAGCAGACAGCAAGAAGCCTCCCAGATCTCCAGATGCATTTGAGATATCAAAAAAGTACTCCAGAGTGTTGTTCAGCATGGAGGTGAGTAGAAAATGAAGGCTAATCATGTTTTGGGTGTACTATTCCTTTAAGGTTTCCTTTGCAGGTTCTTTGAAAACTTGCTGAAGCTCAGTCAAACTGGATGCTTTAAACAGCTCTGTGTTGCTCCTCCTTGGTTTTATTTAAAGGTGTCAGATTTGGGGAGGATGTATACAAGTGCACAACACACCTTTAGAAAAATCCAGTAGAAAAAATTAGCAAAAATGTTTACCAGTGTTTTTTTTTTTTCTTCAACTATTGTTTTTCTTATTTTCCCCACAATTATCTTAAAATAACATTTTCCTTTTTTTATTTCTGTTTTTCTGATGTGTTTTACAGATCTGGAAAATACAGCTAAAGCAAAATGCAAATTGTAAAAATCTGTTTAAAAATAGAAATAAAAATAAAAAACAGAGGTGGCATATGCACAGCTAAAAAAAGCTAGACTTTTGTCACTTTTTCCTTTATTCAAATATTGATGCAGTTTGGAAGCTAATCTTTGTTTTATTTTCAATGAATCAATACTAAATACCTGTTGAGGTATTCGAGTCAAACACAAAAAACAGCAAGGAAGGTCCTTTCCATATCTGATTTATTATGGCCAGTCATGATGCCCACCTTGTCTCTGAAGAGTGCGGCGGCTCTGCTGTTGTACTTCTCCTGTAAGGTCCAGTTCGGGTCATAATCATCTTGGAGTTCTAGAAAAAGGCGGAATTTCCCATTTCCCCCAGCCTTCATTTTCTCCAGTTCAATATCTTTCCACTTGTCCATGGTGACAGAGCGCACGAAACTGAAGGGACAGAGACCAGTTATAACCATATGCTTTGGAAGTAGACATTAAATAAACAAGAAATCATAAAGAACCTGAAAAAACAGATCAAATAAATATCAGATGTCTATAATAGGGGGTTTTCAGTGACGTCACTGGCCAGCTCCCGGTCCGCCATCTTGGGTGGCATATTATCGTATATTAAATATATCATGTCGCGAATGGATAAGTACGCCAGCACGCTAGAGCCATCAGATCATGGAATATATCTGAGGAAATGTTCGGTGATCGACCATATGGACCCCTATGCCCTCCACGGTGCCTTGTTTAGCACTAATCCAGATGATTGGCCAAATGTAGAGCATGGTGACATAGTTCATTACCTGGTATTCAGTGAAAACCCTCTGCACACTCTTGAGGAAATGAGAGCGTACAAGGGTCTAGAGGCTCACAACCAGTTCACATCTGGTTGGGTACGAGATGTCGAAGTGATGTACATGAGGAAATGGCCATCATACGTGGACGGGTGAGTTTTAATAAGATGGTAAAAATGTAAACAATCCGACGCAGGGCTCGCTATGCTAGGTGGCTAACGGCGGGCGGTGCGCGAACAGTTCCAAAGCTACAAGTCCTTGGAGTCTCATGTGCAGTTTACGAATGGATGGGTTCAGGAGCTGCAGCTCATAAAGCCAGCAAACAGTGCTAACCGTTAGTGCTAACAACCACTCAGGCATGTAATGTACTTTTAACTAGCTGCTATGTGTTTCAAATGTTTGGTTAGTAACGTTAACTGCCAAACCTCCCTAAACCCTCCGGGTTTCTCACATATTTGAGCCTTTTCCCGCTGGTTGAAATCAAGTTAAGGTGAAATTAATCAAATTAAAACACGGCTGAGAGAGGGAGTCCAGTACGCGGTAGTCATAAGCAGTAGTCTGAGTAGCGGCGGCGGAGGCAGTCAACATTGCGGCCACGGAAAGTAATACGTCATGACGCCCAAGCCCTATTATTAATATATTCTTACATGTTTTAAATGCTTGACAGTTAATTACCTGTGACAAAGTGAGCACTGCAGACTCTGGCGTATTCCGGCTTAACACCGTCCAAATCGGACCTGGATATCCGTGTCAGCCATAGGTGACGGCGTTGTTCAGATAGCTGTTTTGTTTTTTCACATTGATTCACGATTACGGCTGTTATGCGATAGAAAGAGCGTTGATCTCCACCTCCACGGGCCGTGCAACCAACAATTACACACGATTTCACCATTTTTCACTGTCAATACTGCCTAAGGCTGCCTCCCAATATGGCGGACGCGCTGAGTAGTCACGTGAGCGCGACGTCACCTGAAAACCCCCCATTGAACAAAGCCATGCTGTATCCCCGTCTCTTACCTGAGGTGCACTCCCAGGCCTCTGTGCTTTCCAGAACACTCCAGGCAGATCCAAATGCCATATGTCACACTGACCCACTGAGGGTTAAACGCGCCACACTCAAAACAAAGCTGGGAAGAAAAAGATTGATGGGAAAAGATCAAATTAAATCAGTAAAAGTGGTTTTCCTGTATTTCTACCACATTCTGTGAGAACTCTAAGTCAGCTAGTCACCAAGTTGACATGGTATCAATAATACCAGTGTTATCATATTTCTTATTATTGTTAATTTTTTATTTATAGATTATTTGTAGATTAAAGAAATAGCTCAATCTTAAAATATTTTCAAATTGTGTTACAATTGCCTCATTTATTTGCACAATTGTTTAACTAATAGTTTCAGAGATTCTGTTGAGAAATCATAAAAAAATGAATGGTTTTCATTTCTTTAATTATGCAGCATTTTTTTTCGCCATGGTATCGAAAATACCATAGGGAAAGCAAAGGCTTGTTTTTGCTTAGAAAACATGCAAATTGAAACGGACAAACGGGTCCACTCCTTAGGAATGGGCGATTTTTGGGTTCTTTGTTAGCCTGCAATGCCTGATGCCTGTCTATGTCTATGATTTCAGGGTTTATGAAAGGATCAAAGCGTTTATCAGAATCCCTCATACGCAAAATGCTTTCAGCTTTCCGAAAGGCGAGAGTCACCTGCCCTGCACATCTCAATCAAATTCTGCAGAGCTCGTTTTGGAGTCAGCTGTGCTGAAACATAGACCATGATGTATCCTGGAGGCCTGGAGTTTGAGTGCCACTGCTATAAAACTAAGAGGCGGTTTGCTATTGGATGAAATCAACCTACCGTATTTTCACGACTATAAGGCGCACTTAAACGTCTTTTTTTTCCCCTCAAAATGTGCGGTGCGCCCTTTGGTGCGGTGCGCCCTATGTGTGTTGTAACTGCGACTTTTGAGACCACCTCATTGAGGAGATGATGAAAGAGTGGCTAAATGTAAGGAGACCAGGTGTTTTTTTTCCACTCATCACCATTAATCTGTGACTCCATGCGTGCCCATCTCACAGCTGATGTGAAAAACATGGGGAAACAAATTAACGCTGTGCTCGCTGTTCAACCGCTCGACATCGGTGTGAACCGGACCCAGCAGGTGCAGCAGAAGCAGCGAGTTTACATGCAAAGTCAATGGTTGATGCGCGTATAGGTGCAGCAAAAGGTCCCACAGCGCGTTTTTGTGCAGCAGGCGCAGCGCGTCTGGAGCGTTTCAGCATCTGCCAACGCGCTGCTGCTGCTCGAGATGGAAAAATTTAAGTTTTGCTGCTGGACGCGCCGCATCAACCAATCAGAGAAGCTGATCTGGGAGCTGACAGCGAGACAGACACAGCGCTCTGATGACATATGATATTAAATGAAAAAGGCTGGGTGGATGAGGAGATGATGAAAGCGTGGCTGAGGCAGGTGTATGTGAGGAGACTAGGTGGTTTCTTTCCCCGCATCACCATCGCTGCGTGCCCATCTCACAGCCGATGTGAAAAAAAAAGGTGAATCAAATGAACGCTGTGCTCCCCGTTATCCCGGGGGTCTGACAAAGGAACTTCAACCGCTCGACATCGGTGTGAAGCGGCCGTTCAAAGTAAGGCTGCGAGCGGCGTGGGAGCGATGGATGACAGACGGAGACCACAGTTTCACGATAAGTGGAAGGCAGCGCCGGGCAAGTTACGCCACCGTTTGCGGATGGATTGTAGACGCTTGGGCTAACGTGTCTGCTGGCTCTGTTGTTCAAGCTTTCGCAAAAGCCGGCATTATTTCTGAGGAGCCGCCCGGCACGGAAAGTGACTGACAGCGAAGAAAGGGAAATTGGCATGTCTGATTTAGTGCAGCTGTTTATTTCAGAAACAGAGGATGATGACTTTGATGGGTTTGATTAATACTTTGTAATAAATACATGAATAAAGCACAAACATACTCAGTTTTGCTGCCGCTCTATTTTTCTACCTGAAAACTTAATTCAACAGCAGCCTCTGGGCCGGGTCTCCTCCTCTTCACCGCGGTGGCTGGCAGGTGTTTTTTCATCTAATAATCTAAATCTTGCAACTATATTTGCTGTGATCAGTGGGAATAAAGTAGTTTTAATATGTTTTTAAGTGAGAAAGTCCACCTGAAAACTTAATAATTGCAGTCAGTTCATCCAGATTATCTATTTCTGTCGGAGGCGCTCAGACCCCCACATACCAGCGCTGCACCGACAGTAGAAATCATTTCATCAGCAGCCTCTAGGCTGGGCAGCCTCCGGGTTCACGCGGCTGCTGGCAGGTGTTTTTCATCTAAATAATTTAAACTGCAGGCACCAGGATACCGGTAATAAAAGCGAACATATTCCGTCGGCAGGTTTCAGGATTTTAAGTTAATTTAGGAGTGATCACAGCGCAGTGTCATCTGCGATGTGTCTGTCTCACGGCCAGCAGCCAGGTTTGATTAATACTTTGTAATAAATACATGAATAAAGCACAGTCATACTGAGTTTTGCCCCCGCTGTATTTTTAAATACGCAGTAGAGGTATTTAAAGGTAGTAGAGGACATGTACCTGTATATAAAAACGCGCCCTATAGTCCGGTGCGCCTTATGTGTGTGTTAAATATAGAAATGGGACACATAACTGAGAGTGCGCCTTTTAGTACGGTGCGCCTTATGGTCGTGAAAATACGGTACATGAAAACCCCACAATGTGAGGACTTACATTATTCTCCTCCTGGGTTCTCACTTCCTTCAGAACTCTTCGGGTCCTTGGACTCGCCATGATGACACTGAAAGAAAGTTTGAACAGATCAACACAACAATAAAACAAACAAACATAATAGGATCCTGTAAAAAATAAACAGGCATACATTTCTAGCGTTACTTCTGATACCGTTCAATAATTATTCTAACAGCCAAGGACTCAAAATGCAGTGTCAGAAAATGAAAAGATCCTTAAAATGTTATGAACTACACCAGGGGCGTCTCTAGGTTTAAGAGACAAGGGTGGCTCAGCCCCTAGCATAGCGCGCGCAGAAATTTTTTCAGTGCACCTGCTAAGGCGTTGTCTAAGACAAGGGTGTAACTTTGTGTTGAAAGTTGGTGGGGGACGGCTCATAAGGAAAGGGAGCTACCTGCGCGACGCCTTTTTTTTTTTTTTGTTGGAAAGGATAAAGCCAAAAAAATGCGAATAACATTTATCAATTTAATGCTTACAGTTGAAAACATAACTGTTACAATATTCACTTATATATTTTGTGCAAAAAATATCACATAAATCTAAACAGACAGTACAAATCAAAGAAATCAAATAAATATATCAATTTTGTAGAACATTTATTGACAGTCAATTTTGGGTCACTTTTTAAAATTAATTTACTTTTAAACCAGGACTCGGACAAGATCTTATGGGGCCTTAAGCAGAATATGATTAAGCAACTCCGTCTTTCTGTCAAGAACATCCACCAGCAGGGTATCCAGGGGGGGATTTACCATTAGGCAATACTAGGCAGTTGCCTAGGGCTCCAAGTCCTGGGGGCCCCATAAAACTCTGTTTCCATGTATGGTTAATACAACTAATCCTTATTTGTGCACATTAATTATGTTTTTGATAAAAATCCTTTGGCTAAAATGCCATCAGAACGCTGATAGAGAGGAAAAAGGGACAAGAAGAGAGGGACAAAACCTAGAACAAATAATGGATGTCTATTCTATTAACATTTCTCTATCTGTAGAATGGGTCTGTTATATGGGTTTACTTCTCAGGGGCCCCCCTGCCTGTCTTTGCCTAGGGCCCCAAATTTCCTAAATCCGCCCCTGAGGGTATCAATACTGATTTGATAGAATCTGGGAGAGCGGACTATGTTCAACCATCCATTTTCTTTAACCTTATCCCTCAGTGGGATCAGGAGGTGCTGGTGCATATCTCCAGCCACGTTCTGGGTGAGAGGTGGGATCACCCTGGACAGGTCACCAGTCTGTCGCAGTATGTTCAACCAGCTTAAAAGTAATCGGTAATCAGATTTATTATTTGCACTTTTACTAAGTGAACTTTCTAACTCCCCTAAATCTGAAATTCCAATGCCAAAATTGTTTAAATCTTTTATCTTTGGACCCCCTGCAGAGTGACGTCACACCTGCAAGATCCTATCCATACCTTCCTGCTAGATTGCAAAAAGCAGATTGCTCATGAGTTGTCAACTTAACACGCTAAATCTTAAATGTACGTGTACATATAAAAGAAAAAGGGGCGAAGTGCTTGCTACTGAATGGCAACACTATCAAAGTCAGGAAAAAGTTTTAAGTAAAGCCGGGATTAAAACAGTAGCTACAAGAAGCTTCAAATAAAAGGTGTTCTTTATGTTCAACCTAAACACCAACTCCGATAGACCATCAGTAGAGCAGGTGTTTAAATTAATCAATCACTGCTGCGAAAGCTTATAGCAGTGAAAGCTAATATACCACAGCCATCACTTAATAAACGCAAAATAAACAACCCTCTAAAAACGGAAAACTGTAATGGACTGAAAGTCCTGTTTTTTATGTGGGAAATTATTTGCGTGTGTTTTAGTATAATTCTGATATATTGGCGCTGTTGTCTGTTTCTATGGCAACGATACTGAATGTAGTGTAGCCTAGAGACCTGCATGGGTCGAGTTTTACCAACCCGCACCCGCCCGAACCCGTTAGGATGACTACCGAACCCGACCCGTCACCCGCGGATATCTTCAATTCAAATCCGAACCCGACCCGTTGATATTTAACCCGCAACCCGACCCGTTAACCCATCATAGGCTATTGTACGCTGTGCTGCACTCAGTGCCTGATTAATATAACATTTCTGATGTCCATAACAACACACACGCATAAAACAAAATCACCAACTACCCGCCCGGACTAAAAAAATATCCGCCCGACCCGTTTATTTTTTTTTTTTTGTATTTTTCGCGGGTACCCGACCCGTTGCAGGACTCTAGTGTAGCTGACATAACAGTTTTTTTTTTCCAACGGTTCAGTTATATTTTAAATACGGTATTAACTTATTTTTACACTATTCTCTATTCTTTTACTACTTTAAGTCTCTCCTGACTAAAATTAGGTTTTAATATTTCCACAAGTCCCTCTCACCTGCAAGTCTGAGTCCACTTCTGTCCCTGAAGCGACAGGTGTTATGGGGAGAGGGCGGAGGGGGGTGATGGGGAGAAAGCGAGAGGCAACAGATTCTTTTTTCTGAGTTTTTTGTCGGGGTTTGTGGACGGTGAGCAGCGGGGAGAACTTTTTTGATTTTCTGAGGAGCGGCATGAATGGGGTTTTAATCAGATATACACAGCACCGAAAGCAAAATACGTGTACAAAATATTGGTGGGGACATGTCCCCCTACCGGTCAAGATTGGTGGGGACATGTCCACACCAGTCCTTAAGGAAGTTACGCCTATGATTGTTCAGATTAACTTGTCTTCTTTATGGCTTTTATTCGGTGCTTTACTGCATTTGTTTTGGGAAAATATGAGGAAAAAATAAATTCAGAAAATATATATTTTTTTTTAAATCGCAAAATAATTATAGGGTGGCTAATGCCAAAGAAAGGATGACTGAAGCCACCCTTAAATAGGTCTAACGACGCTTATGAACTACACTATAATGGGGGAGACTGCTGAAGCTGACCTGACGTTCTACAGAAACATTGACACCATGTTCCCATGAGTTCCTTGCTCACAGAGCAACGCAAATAACGTTTAGGGGAGGAAAAAAGTATGGTAGGATAATAAAGAGCATTCAGTGGCGCCAAGGATAACTTCAACCATGAGAGGACCGAGAAATCAAAGGCCATCAAGAGTTTGGAAGAAATTCACTGGCTGTCAACTGTGGATGGAAGACGGTGCATAAATTACTTTTTAATTCCTTGAATTACGTCAGAACTGATTCAAAAACAGTGAGATGATTATTTAGAGGACATTCTGTACCGATGTTGTTGTGAGGAACCCGTCTTTATAGATGGAAAAAAAAAAAAGATCTGAAAAAACAAAACATCTAGATATGAACATTTCAAAAATGTAAAAAATTAAAAAAGGTTTTGAGACTAACTGCTGTTTTCTCAGATTGTATATATATATATTTAAACTTTTTTACTTTTTAATTTTTTTTCCTTTTATCCATTTTTACCAACCTTATTTTTTACTTTTTTTAAATAAAAAATTTCTGCTTTTCTAATTGCGTTTTACAGATGTTCTTTTCACTTCTTGGGGGCGGGCTTTCAGCATGGACAAAAGAAACAACATTTTTATTAGTGAATAGATGCATCAAACGCAGGTTTTTTTTATTGGGCTTAGAATAAAGAGAATTTGATCGCTGGACTGCAATTTGAAAAGAATGCAATAAAAAAAAGAATCTGTAAAAAAAATATTTTTTCAAAATTAAATCAGAGAACATAGAAAGGTTCCTCTAAATATTTTTTTAGTAAGAAGTTTTTTAAAGTTTCATTTCTAATTTTTGTCTTTTATTTCGACCTATACAATGCGACTGCTGGGTTTGAAGCACAAAGTCACTGCAGACACCTACTAGGAACTAAAACAGCATTTCAGGCTTCCCTCTTCTGAGCTTTATAGATGCTGATTGCTTTATTCTAGATTATTTGTTACCTGTCAGAAATACCAGCTTTAAGGCCCTGTCACACCTTGCCGATTTAGCCAGCGTATACCTGACGTCCAAGAATCTCCTAAAAGGCTGCCATACGCTGCACTTTCTATGTATGTTTTCAATTTTGGGCAAAAAAAAACAAAAAAACAACCAAAATCAGCTGGCTGATATATCGGTCCGTCTCTAGCACACTTTGATTAGAATAATCCAGTTATCAGAGATAAACCGACACATCGCCTGGCTGACATTAAGCAGATATTTGTGTTATTTTCTTGTTTCACATTCACCGATTCACTGGTTGATTAAGCAGCCATGCCTTGAGATCAGGTGAAGTCTGTCTGCTAGTTAATCTGCTACCCACTGTTAGTGATGCGTTTGATTTAATTCAATGTTTCTTTGTGTTTAAATTAAGACTTTTCTAACAGTTGTTGTCACTGTGTTTTTTTTTTCCTGTCAATAAATGAAGAGAAAACAATATTGTCAAAAATCAGCAGCACATATCTGACTACCTGCTGTAAAATTCCTTGATCGAATAGAAATGTGTTGAGATCAGTGCTGCAACTAACCATTATTTTGCAAATCCATTAATCTGTAGATAATTCTTTCAAATAATTGATTAATAATTGGATAGCAAAAGATTCCTTACAGAAGAGTCTTTAAGCAATCAAAAAAGGTGACTCAAACTTTTCCACTTGATCAGTTCTGGATAGAGCATGGTGACAGACATTTTTTTTTAAATACAATTTTTATATAATTACTGCTCTAAGAGTGTCGCTCTCTGAGATGATGGCATGTTTTAGAGTCTCTAACATTAATAATTAGGTCTAAGTAATCATGTGAATTGTTTCTCTGTTAGTTTAATAGTTAAACTTTTATGTGGTTCATTATTTAAACAAATTATTCCATCATCTATTTTATAAAATGAGGACCTTTAATTCTCTAAATACTGATGTAAATCTTCATTTACTGACTTCAAGCAGTTACTCAGATTTAGATGCCAGAAATAAACCTGAGTACAAAGCGGTTAGTCTTAAACTATTAGTATGTAAATGTAATCATACCTTGTAAATTTAAAGCTGCTTTAAGAAAATCTATTTTTTTTCAGTAAAATAAATATGAAAAATATTCCTTTATGTTTATAAATTCAATACAATAATAATGACAGAATATGAAAAGCATCTCACCCAGTGCTCCCTGAACACACTTTGAAACAGCTGTAGCTTCATAACCGCGAAACCACATCGAAGCTCCAGATGTGTGAGTGGGTGGTTGTACTTGTTTATGTTACCTATTTAGCACCGTTTTTGGTATATTTACTAACCTTCTGAAAACCAACAGGCCTTATAGGGAACAAAGGCTGGTCCTAATGTGGTGGGCCCTCATTTTTAAAACTTAGAGAGTCAGCTTGGAGGCATAGTGTGAATTAACTTAAGGTTAGAAATTCCTGATAATGTTTGGGGTAAATGTCAATGTTAGGCATAAATTCAGTCACTAAGATGACTCAATATCATCTAAATACAAACGCGTGTGCATGCATTGGTGGTGGGGGGGTACAGCAAACAAGCGGAAGTATTTTAATAATTAAAGGGATTCCCCTGCTTCTGTATTCTTTTTTAAGCTTGTTTATAGTTTTATTCAACTGAGATGTGTTTTTCTGAAGTAAAAGGGTTATCAAAATATCATAATTGTTTTATTTTAAATAGTTATATTTGTAGCAAAAGGAAAAACAAAAATATATAAACTTTAACTTTGTTCAATGTGCCAATATGTGAAACATTATATTTTATTCAGATTTTACTCTTAATGCAGCAGATGTCCTGATCAATTAAACTACAGAAAAGCATCTACACTGTGACAAAAAAACAAGACTCAAAAAAAGGCATACATTTCTGCTCCCCCATTTCCATATACAAGAATGGAGCGACCCTTTCAAATCTGGTAAAATATCCAAAGATGCAATATGGAGTAGCGGGAGGAGCAGATAGGGGAGATGAAACTGAGCTATGAAAGCAGAGTTCAAATGTAAGGAAAGAAAAAACAAAAACTGTAAATAATATCTGAGCCAACCTCTGATGTTTAATCGCTGCATGTTTTCTGATGAGCCCAAGATCTCACAAAAGACTCATGGATAGATATCCGTTTAAAAAACATAAATATAGCCCCAATATTTGTTTTGCCCATATTTCTTTAAATGGGTAAAGGAGCCCTACATATTATATCAAATGTAAATAATTTAATCCAAAAATAAATTGATTAGTTTTACTGTATTTCATATAAAGGCTGCCCTCCACCATAACCTGACAACACACAAGACACAAAATCAGCTGGAGCTAAAAGTTTAACTATATATATATATATATATATATATAGTGTTATCTTTAACTATTTATTTAGTGTTAAATCTTCATTACATGGGACATAACAGGGGCAAGGGCCAGTGTTCTAGGGGCACTGGTCCCCATTGGCCCCTGCCAGTCCATCTAGTATCAAGAAACATTTATAGAATATAAAACACATACGGCTGTCAGCTATTTGCGGCATTCCTCTGTGTTTTTAATCCAAACCAAAACTGAATCCTATATGAACAATGCAGAATGCAGATTTTATTGCGTTTAACAAACACTTAAAGGTCAGTTTTAGATGCACTGTTTTTGGAAACCATGTCTACATTCATGCAATCATGAGTCGAGCTGGTTTTCGGATCATGACGTGGAAAATCGAAGTCATCCTTTTTTTTTTTTTTTTTTGGCCTCTACTCTGATGTAGTCAAAGCTTTTCAATAAGGATGAAAACCTAGATTAATCAGATTTAAGTCAATCTCTTTTAGCTTCCGGTGAAATGTTCGACATTTAGTCATTGAATAATTTACAGTATATCACTAAAAATCTGATTTTTAATACGGTTATCGAACCACTAGGGAGGTCTTTATTTCGGAGCTAAGGCTAAGCTAACCGGCCGCTGTTACCTGATGGGAAACAACCAGGACGCCGCTTCTCAGTCTCCACGCTCCGCCGCTCTAATCTATTGTGGGTTTGGTTCCGTAGCAGATTCACGGGCTGTCACAGGCTGTATAAGGCTCCCAATTAAAAAGCACCGACGTTAAAACCGATGGCCATGTTCCTGTTTGCATACGTTGGCACAGCAAAGCATCACGGGACAATTCTGAATTCTTCTTCCTTAACGTGTGAAAGCAGCCATTAGATGCACTATGGACACCTGCTGGACGCAACGTGTTACTGCACCTCTACTGCAGTACTGACTCTCTGGGACTGAGATCTAACAATAAAAAGTACTTGCCCCGGGCAAGCCTTGTCATGCACATCCTTGTGACAGTTGGCATATGGTGTAATTTTATATTTCTTCAAACTGTAAAATCCTTCCAACAAACTAAATTACAAACTAAATTACGATAAATACGATGTTCCTCTTATATTTGGTGAATTTTTATTTCATTATTTTGCAAAAATATGTTGCGGTGCATGATGGGGTTTTGCATCTAAAGGCCCACGTTTTCCCCTCTTACCTGCATTGTTGCCAGGTTGGGATGTTTCCCAACCAGGCAGTTTAGTATTGGCCATTTATGGGAAAGAAATGTTTTTCTTTAGACTTATTGCCTAAGAGATCAATATACTTTGGTTCAAATTGGGAGAGATTTTGTACATCCAGGCGGTTTCTGTTTGGGCTGGTTTGGGCTGGAAATGTTTGTCAGTGACATCTGGCAACCCTGCTGATGTGAGTGTGGACGTTACTCAGCAGCAGTCACTGTTGTGTCTGTGTTAATGACCAAACCCAGGAAAACCGCATTATAGAAGTCTTGGTGATGGTTGTTGTGTGATGCTTGAATTTAGATCGGTTAATCCACAATGTCTATTCGTATTACGTACGAAACGAAGTTTATCATGTTTCACATTTGAGGCCCACACATTTAACTGTGCTTTTATTGATGGAATGCCTGTTTGGGGGTCACTGCCCTGGGGCCCCAATGACCACGGGCACCACTGATGCCTTGACCTTCCAGGTTTTCTCCAGCTTTTCTCTGAGCCCCTGGTATTTCTCTAGTTTCTCATGTTCCTTTTTCTTGATGTTGCAGTCACTTGGTATCGCTATGTCATCATAACATCTTTCCTCTGCTTTTCGTCCACCACCACAATGTCCGGTTGTTTTGCCATTACCATTCGGTCCGTCTCTTTACTTTGGTGTTTTACACTACATCAGATGTCAAGTATAGCCTGTTAGATTAAAGAAATAATACACCCAAAACATGATTAGCCTTCATTTTCTACTCACCCCCATGCTGAACAACACTCTGGAGTACTTTTTTGATATCTCAAATGCATCTGGAGATCTGGGAGGCTTCTTGCTGTCTGCTGACATTCAAATAATGGAGGTCTATGGTGCCCGAGGCAGAAAGGTCCATAAAAGTCCACAAAAAAACGTGTCAATATTCCTCCATACTGCTCGTCCAATGTATTCCAAGTGTCCTGAGTGGGTAGCGTCCATAATTTACTCGAAACAAAGTCATTTAGAATGTTTTTAGAGCATAAACAGTAGTGTATAGGATTTCCTGAAAGCGCGCGCCGGCGCGTTCATGACGCTACGGAAACCGCGGCAGACCAAGCCAGATGAAAGTGCGCATTCAGCTCGGCAAAGAACTCATGCTCTTCCTCAACACTGAAGTCCTCAGACATTTTTCTTTCGTTGTTTCTTTCTTTGCACAGGTAAACAGCACATTTCTTCTTCTACGCTTGCATTATCGGCAGAGCAGACGCTGAATGCGCACTTTCATCTGGTTTGGTCTGCCGGCTTCCGTAGCGTCGGGATCGCGCATGTGCGCGCTTTCAGGAAATCCTATACACTACTGTTTATGCTCTAAAAACATTCTAAATGACTTCGTTTCGAGTAAATTATGGACGCTACCCACTCAGGACACTTGGAATACATTGGACGAGCAGTATGGAGGAATATTGACACGTTTTTTGTGGACTTTTATGGACCTTTCTGTCTCGGGCGCCATAGACCTCCATTATTTGAATGTCAGCAGACAGCAAGAAGCCTCCCAGATCTCCAGATGCATTTGAGATATCAAAAAAGTACTCCAGAGTGTTGTTCAGCATGGGGGTGAGTAGAAAATGAAGGCTAATCATGTTTTGGGTGTACTATTCCTTTAAGTTCTTTTTAAATGACAGATTTCGTAATTTGTATTTAACAGTTATTTTGTGCTTTTATTGTTTTATCTATTTCTTTGTCTTTTGTGTCTGTGCACTTATTTTAATGCTATAGCTATATGAATTGTCTAAAGAAATAAAGAAAGAAAGCATAACCAGCTGTTTTGTTCTGTTAAATACAACACAGCAGGAGAAGAGATAAGATAATGGGGTTGAATCTGAAGGACTGAAGTTCATTTTCTCACATGCTTCTGTATTAAATAACTCTGGCCGGCCTTGGATTAGAAGGATGTTGCACCAATGCCATCAGCTGCTCTTATCTTGAAGAAGCTGATGAAACCGTATAAGTGCAGGTAGAGTAGAGGGTCATGCCACTCATTGCCACTCATTCATCAACATGAGTCCATCAACAAGCTTAAAGGTGCGTTTGCCAGCCTTTGTGTTTGTGCTGGAGGCTGTGATGATTGCCCTGTATGCTGTCTTTGTCACATATGATGATGATTCCAACACCAAACTGCAGAACAACGCGACCAACCCCATGGAAAACTCCATGTACCGGGACTACCAGTACTTTGCACATGTGCAGGTGATGATCTTCCTGGGCTTTGGCTGTCTCCTGGCCTTCTTCCGCTTCTACGGCTTCAGCGGGATGGTGTTCAACTTCCTGACAGCCACCTTTGCCATCCAGTGGGCCATCCTGATTCAAGGTTTCTTCCAGTTTTACCATGACGGTAAAATCCACCTGGGCATAATCAACCTGCTGAATGCAGAGTTTGCCTGCGCTGTGGTGCTCATCTCCTTCGGCGCCGTGCTTGGGAAAACCGGTCCTGTTCAGCTTCTTGTCATGGCTCTTCTGGAAATTCCTGTTTTCGCTGTCACGGAGTGGGCTGTGCTCAAATACATTGGGATAAACGACGCAGGGGGCAGTATTCTTATTCACCTGTTTGCCTGCTACTTTGGGTTGGGTGTAACTTTTGTGCTGTATCGCCCAAGTTTGAGCAAAGGACACCCTAAAGAAACCACCAGCTATGAATCCGACATGCTGTCTGTGATGGGGACCCTTTTTCTTTGGGTGTTTTGGCCTTCATTCAACTCTGCTCTCACAATCAAAGGCGACGATCAACACAGAGCTGTGCTCCACACGTTTTTAGGCCTGAGCTCGTCCACCATCACCGCCTTCGCCCTCTCTGCCATGTTCAATAAAAGAGGCAGGCTGACGATGGCGGATGTCCAAAACGTGACGCTGGCGGGTGGAGTAACCGTTGGGGCTTCAGTGGACATGATGATCTCTCCAGTAGCTGCCTACGCTCTGGGCATCATGGGCTGCACGGCCTGCTTCTTTGGCTACAAGTACCTGACTCCCTTCTTGGCTAAGAGCCTGAGGATCCAGGACCAGTGTGGCATTCACAACCTCCACGGACTCACCGGGCTTATATCGTCCACTGCAGGGATCTGCCCCATCCTCCTGGCCACCGAAGAGACCTACGGACCCAGCATGTATGAGATCTTCTCCCATCGCGCTCCCCCAGAGGGAGACCCAAAGCTGCTCGAGCTGCAGGTGCTAATTCCCGGGCTGAAGCCGGGTCTGGGCCGCACCGCTTGGGAGCAAGTGCTCTATCAGGTTGCAGCCATCTTCTCCACCATTTTTGCTGCTACTGTCGGCGGGCTACTGACCGGGCTGATCATGAAGCTGCCATTCATGGAGTCGCCATCTGATGAGAGCTGCTTTGATGATCAGCTCTTCTTTGACGTGCCTTCAGACTTCCACAGTCTGGAGGTCCTGGAGACGGTGGAAGTCTTGGATGGGTCATTATAATATCATTTGATCTTGCATTTCCTGCATAGATAAGACAAATAAAAAAAGAGCAGTAGTTCTGTTTTTCTATTTTTTTTTCTTTTTAAATTAATCTGTTTTTATTAAGTTAGCTGTTGGACTTTTCTTCAACATGTGTTTTTTTCCCATTTAACTTCTAAGTTATTTACCTGCTTGCCTATATTATTTAGTTATTTTTCATGCATTCTGTAACGTATTGGTAATCATGCTTTCATCTTATCTCCTACTTTTGCACCCAGTGTCTTTTTTTCTGAAGTTTTGCAGCCCTCAGATCCCACCATAAAACGTAAAAAAGTCAAATAAGGGTATTTGATTGAATTGATACGCTTGACTTTTATACCCGAATTCAATAAAAAAAAAATCTGTCTTAAAGAACCAGTTTATATTTATTGTCATAAATGTAAACACTTCTCTATGTAAACACACCACCTCTATGGAAAGAGAAAGGGAACAGTATAAATTAATAACTAAATATAAAATAGAATAAATAGATGTAAATGTAATATGAAGTAAATAAATGTAAAATGAAATAATAAAATGTAAAAAGAAATGAATAAAAGTATTATTAAATAATCAAATGTATTATTTATTAATTCAATATATTACTAAACAATTAAATGTAAATTATATAATTAAAAATAAATAATATTTTACATCTTGCCATGCTCAATGAGAAGCAGCGAATCAGATGTCACAGTCTCTGTGGAAGTGGGCCTAGTCCCGCCCACTGACTAATAACATTTATGTCCAAGTTTATTTTATTTCAAAACAAATCAATTTAATAATTCAATGTCATCATTTCAATGTAAAATCCATTTGCATATGTTTATTTCATATTACATTTAAAATGATTTATTTCATGACATTTGTCCCCCTTTACCCTCCATAGCCTTCCCTCTGTGTTAATTTCATAGATCCCACCGCTCTGCTTTGAGTCTTGGCAGAAGCAAACTTTGAGTCTTTCCCAGAAACTTTACTTCATTTAAAGTATTTGTTGGTTTAAAATCTATTCAGAATTATGTGCAACATGAGTTGTTATTTGGATAAATACATTTTTCCTTTTCTTTTGTGATGAAAAGTACATTTCATTGCTTTACAGACACCAGAATGAATTCTTTGCTCAGAACTTTGTCAGAAAACCATACATTGAGAAATCTCTGATTTAATAATCCTCCAAGCAAAGGCCTTGAATATTAACAGACTCAAGTAGTTGCAACCATTTTATTATTTCCTGGTATTTCATTATATGTTACTGATACCCAGGTTATGTAGCTTTTATGAAGTGACAGGGTCAATAGATGTCTTATCTAATCATGGAAAATTTGAATGTAAAAGCTCTGTCCATGTAAACATGACCATATCCACATATTTGATGTTCTTTTAGAAAGTTTCTCTGCTGAAGATGAGTTAATGGAAAATAAAATATTTGTTTTCTTGCGTATTTGGAATCAACCTTTTAAAAATATCTGAAAATGAACTGTAATGTTAAAACTGACTGAAGAAGCAGCCGTCCTTAACAGACGATTATCATCATGAGCAGAAGGAGATTTAAAGAGAAATGCAAACAAGGACATTTTGTTGAAGAACAGTGTGTTTACAATGGAAAAATTCCAAAAAGTGTATGGCTTGGCTCAAATGTTTGGATATTTTATAAAAACCTTCAGATGTTTCATATTATTATTGACTTTAAACTTGTACATTATCCTAAAATCAGTATCCCAGGTTGAAGTCAATATTTCAATTGTTTTATTATTTTCCGCAACTCGTAAAAATGAGGTGTTTAAGGTGTTGCCTTAAAACTAATCCACAAGAGAGATTAAATTCGTTTTAAATTTAAGAATACTTAATTCTCTCAAACGGAAATCAAGTGTCAGACTTCTTTTGGTTTAAATTTTTTATGTTAATAGCTTTAGGCAGCAAGACGCCTTCGACTGAAAAGAAGGGATTGAATAAAGAAAGAGGAAGGAAGGAAGGAAGGAAGGAAGGAAGGAAGGAAGGAAGGAAGGAAGGAAGGAAGGAAGGAAGGAAGGAAGGAAGGAAGGAAGGAAGGAAGGAAGGAAGGAAGGAAGGAAGGAAGGAAGGAAGGAAGGAAGTCAAACTTGTGCTACTACTGATATAACAGCATTAATAGCAATGACCCTTATCTCTGTCAGTGATGTTTGTTAACACCATGATAAGGCTGTTGCTGTAATAAATGTAGCATACAATCAGCAATACTCTTTGTTCTGTGATAATTTAAATCTGGATCATCCAAGCCTAGTGCTGAAGAGCCTCCTCAGTATGTCACAGGGTATTTCAGAGGCCTGTTAATAAACTAACGTTGAATTTTAGTTAGGAAAACCAGAAAAAAAAGATCTAAAACAAGCAGGAATGTGCAAGTATTATTTATTTGGTTTTCATTTTGGTCTATAAACATGTTTAGTTGAGGGAAAATCTATTTTAAGGCGGGTCAATGTTCACATTGAGGCAGGGGCTTCCACATGTGGCATCACATGGCAGATAGGGAGCTTAATAAAGATTAGATGAAGGAGCATAAATTCATTACATCACCACATGTGAGTGGATGTGTGGGAAATATTGGTTTAGTTAGTAGCAAACTTGGATGGTACATACTTTTTTTTTTTTTTTGGTCACATTTTTAAAAAGCTTTTAATGGCCCTGACTTGTTTTCTGCCAGAGGTTGGAAGAGTACCTGAAAAACTTTACTCAGTTAAGAGCAGATCTACTTTTTAACTCAAATAAAAGTAAAAAAGTATTCAGTAGGAAGGTTACTTGAGTACTGAGTAATTGTTGGATAATATCAGATTTAATGTTTATAAATAATGCTGGCAAATAGACTTTATGTTCAAGTTCTGGCATTTTAAAGACCCAGATGCATAAAGAATATAATTAATTAAAGCTGATTTTTATGCTGTCTAAAAAGGAATGAAAGATTTTCTCCAAGCACTAAGCTCACTTAGCTGATTGCTCCTTCCTGTGTTTCCAAAAAGGCGACGGCAAAAGTAAATAACCCAGTCCTTCTTTTCACTGTAGACAAGCCATGATCTGCTTCTCTGTTCTCCATTTTTCATTTGGATGAAATAATAGCTGCATGAATCATGACAGCAGACAAGATAGAGGAGAGCAGGAGGCGGGGTTACCAACCTACTCGCTCTGCAGAACAGAGTTTGCTGCTTTTAGATGTAGTTGCCATTGTCTCCAGTAGTAGTGCTAGGCGCTTTGTTGAAATTGTGGTGAATGGGCATAGTTTTGATCACGTGGTGTCAGCGGTGATTGGTAAAATCACCTGTTCTGTTCACCTGGTGTTTGTGTCAGAGAGTGGGTGATGGGGGATGTCAACATTTTGCTGACCGCTTTAAGTTTTTGGATATTATTGTTGCGCCTGATCACGGCTCCAACCTGTGGATTTGTTTGTATGCTGCCTGCATGTTTTTTTTGAAGATCAATAAAAGGATCTGAACAGCATATTGGACTGGACATTTTGAGCGCGTCAACAAGGATTCCCCTAATCAGCCGCTCGGCGACTTAGTTGTTTTGACTGTCGCCAACAATTGTCAGCAAAATTGGATAAAGAAACGACAGCAACGGAGCTTCTAGCACACAGGAACGGACGCGAGCCCACACTACACCTACGGAAATGGATAACTTCATAAAGAAGGAGAAGACGATGGGGGTATGTAATCGGCATGTTTGTGCTGTTTAAAACCAGTTTGCTTCTGTTTGGTGAAGCTGTCGTGACACGCCTCCTGCTACGTTTACTGTTGGACTCTGGCTGCAGGATTTGATGCGCGCGCGTGTGTGTGTGTGTGTGGGGGGGGCTCTGCGTAATCTCTGCAAGCTGGTGCTTTGAAGTTTCCTGTGATTTGGATTTTTGGCAACTAAATGACGCAAAATGAGTGGATCATCTACAGTATCTGTTGGTGAAAAACCTGAAAAGGATAAAAGAACTATCGTTCTCACTGAGAAGGCTCTTGCAAATAAAATTGAAACTATCCAAACAGAACGGAAAAGGCATGTAAATAAAATGAAAGGTCTAATTGCTTCTCTCAAAGATCTAATGAAAGGTGATGAAAATTACTCACAAGTAAAGTTACAGTTGGATGAGTTAAGGCGCCTCTCTAAGGATGCCAATGCATTGCATGAATCTCTGTTGACTTTAATTCCATCTGATGAAAAACATCAGCAAAACACATGGTTCTCAAGCATCACAAAATACAATAAAGGGTTTACTGAGGATGTTGAAATATGGCTTTCTGAAATTAATAAATGCTCAAGCAGGCCATCCTCCGACATGCTACAGTCAGAGAAATCTCCTGTAGGAGGAAAAGTGGAGGTTCAACAGCACATGGAACACAGAAAGTCTGTTAATCTCCAGCATGATAACCAGGAGGATGTGTTGCCTTCTGATAGTATTTCAAATCAAGGGAGCAGGTCAAGCTCCAAAGTATCATCCACTGCATCTGCACGTCTCAGGGCTGAAGCTGAAATGGCAGCCTTGCTCACACGTCGAAATATGCTGAAAGAAAAACATGCTCTGGAAGAACAAGAGGAGCAACTGAGGAAAAGGAAAGAACAGCTTCAACTTGAAGCAGAAATAGCTGCAACTGCTGCAAAAGTAAATGTGCTGAAAACTGGATCTGCAGTGCAAAGCACAGCTTCACAGAAATCCAATGGAATGGAATCATATTTCAAAACAAAAGGAAAAGCTCTTGAGATTCTTAAAGCAGACACAAAGACTTTTGTTCCACAGACACTTCCAAAGAGAAATACAGTTTTTGGAAATGCAGAGCTGCAAGTAAAAACAATGCAACAGAATGCGACAGGGGAAAAAACTACACCTCTTTTTACGAGGCCTTCCGATCATCTAACAAAGAAACCTTCATATATGCCTCTCCAGGAAGCTGCTCAACCAGTAGCCAATGAAACCCTGTTGTCCATCATGGACAAACAAAATGAATTAACTATGTTAGTACGTCAACAAAGCCTTTCTTCTCTACCTAGAAGAGACATTCAACCTTTTGATGGTGATCCTCTTCACTTCCAGGCTTTTATGCGTACATTTGAACAGGTTATTGAAGCAAAGACCGATAATCCTGATGATTGCCTGCATTATCTTGCACAGTACACTAGGGGTCAGCCCTGCGAACTTGTCAAAAGCTGTCAACATATGTCTGATGGTGCTGGATATATAAAAGCAAAGACTATGTTGTATGAGCACTTTGGAAATGGACATGTCATTGCATCTGCTTATCTGAATAAAATACACTCATGGCCTTTGATTAAATCAGAAGATGGAAAAGCTCTTCAGGCATACTGTTTGTGCTTACGTGGATGTTGCAATGCGATGGGGGATGTTTATGATCTTTCAGAATTAAATACACCTGCCAATATGCTTGCTGTAATTAGAAGATTGCCTTATAAGTTGAAAGATAAATGGCGCACAGCAGCATGCGACATCCAAGAGAAGCAGCATCGCAGAGCTACATTTACTGACATTGTTTTC